AGAGATTGTATGTAACTAAATATTAAAATTGCATGTATGTAACTAAATATAAAAAAATATTAAAATTGCAATAACCCTCATTAACACCGCCTGATGAGATGGGATGATATGCATCGAAACATGAATGCATTTATGTAGCAGTTTTAATATATGTTGAAAGTTTAATATCCTATATTAAAGTATATATATATATATATATATATATATATATATATATATATATATATATTTGTTCAATATCTATCTATCTATCTATCGCAGACTGTTCAGATCTAACTATCTATATCAGTAGGTTAATATTTATATTCATCTCTATCTCCATTCATCTATCTATCATATATCTCAGTTTGTTCAATTGTGAAGCTCTTCTTAGCCGAGCGGTTAAAGTACACCGGATTAGACGATGGTTTTCTCCTACAAAGTGGGACGCAGTTTAGAAACTTGTCGGCGAATATATCAATTTCTTTAATAAGTTGTCTCGAGTATACGCAATATATATATATAGGCAATAAAGTAAAAAAAAAATCAAATATTTTAAAATTTTGTTTTTTTCAATTCCTTAATGATGTAATTGAACAGTAGTTATGTATTTTAACGCATTTAATAGTTTATGCCTATAACATAAATACAAACTTATAAATAAACACAAATTACAATTTTACATATAGAATTAGAAATTTCTATCTACAAGTAAGAATATAATATATAATGAAAAGAATATGGAATATTTAGCATAAGTATTGCATAATATACAATTATTGAGTTAGAAAAAACGATAAGTTGAACTCTGTCTTTTTACAGACATCCTAAAGATTTTGAAGACACATCATTTCTTGGTAACAACACTGATTTGTTCTGGGAATTTCTAGTCTCAATGGTTCTGGATTCCAAAACTTTTTCACAGAGTTTAATATTTTTTTTGTGTGCCTGCACACACTGCTACATAACTTCTGATAATCATCTGCAATGTAGATTTGGTCAGTAAACCAATGGTCTGCCCATCTGTAAGAGATGAAACTACAAATTTTGAGTAAAGATTCTCTTTTCTTAGGTAGAAGAATAAATGCCAAAAGAGCTGGTATTGCTCTAGAATTTCATCTTGTATTAAGTTAGTTGTTTTTTTAAACTTCACTTCAAGAAAGCTTTCAGTTCTTTGAAAAAGGCGGAAGACACGAGTTCACAGAGAACCAGTACACAGCTTGCCAAAAGATCCCTAAACGACCCTCCTCAGGTTTTGAATTCAGAGTTCCTCTTCTTCTAGACCAATTGCCACCTAAGGCGATAGGAATCAGTCAGAGCTGCCATTTACACTTTAGTTTTATGGAAACGACCAGAAAAGATGAATTTTTTACTTTCCCAAATGAAGATAAGTGATTTAATAAACACAACTGGAATTCGAGTATTTATTCCGTTCACTGAATCCGATTTCTATCAACTTATTTATATATATATATATATATATATATATATATATATATATATATATATATATATATATATGTGTGTGTGTGTGTGTGAAAATATATAGAAAATAGGAAGGAACTGGTTAGGTAAATAATCCAAAGTCCCTTAGTATTTTAGTTATTATTTTTAAAAAATAGTGCTCGATACATTAAAGAGAGCATAAATATAATTATTTATTTAAAAATATGATTCCAAATCGCTTTACATAAGAGGTCTCATGATTTTTGAAAAACAAGAGAAGAAAAAACTTCAATATAATCCTTTAAATTAAATTGAGTTGAAAGTAAAATGGGCTCCGTTCCATCTTCAAGGAAAATTTTGTTGAATAATATATATATATATATATATATATATATATGTGTGTGTGTGTGTGTGTGTGTGTGTGTGTGTGTGTGTGTGTGCGTGTGTGTGTTGTAATGTAAACCCTCTTACAGTCGTATGAACTCTTCCTCCTCTTCATAAATATTAACATGCGAGAGGGTCCCGTGTGATTTGAGACGTAGTGTAACCTGAGCGTTCGGACGGACACTTCTATTTGCTTCTTACTAACACTCTTGCTTTTTTATATATATATATATATATGTATATAAATAAAATAAAATTTATATATATATATATATATATGTATATAAATAAAAAATAAATTTAATTTATTTGAAAAAAAAAATAAAAGAAACAAGTTTTTAGCTTCTATTTTGAAAACATGGTTGGAACTGTGTCGAACGAAAAATAACCATATTTTAAATCAATTAATTTTTAATTTAATATATATATATATATATATATATATATATATATATATATATATATATATATATATCCACTTACATCTATACATAGATATATTTTTTTAAATTTTGTTTTTATTTCGCTATGTTTTTCGATGTATTTTTTCGATACTATTTAAAAAAATTTAGGTTGTTTTAAATTTAAATTTTAAAATTTAAATTATGAATTTAAGATTTAAATTTACAATTTTAGATTTAAATTTTAATTTCTTATCCTTAGTTGTTGTTATTAATAATAATAATAATAATAATAATAATAATAATATAATAATTAATAATAATAATAACAATAATAATATAATAAAATAATTAATAATGACGATAACTATAATAATAATATTAATTAATAATAATAATAATAATATAATAATAAAAATAATTAATAATAATAACAATAATGATATAAGAATAATAATATAAAAAATAATTATTAATAATAATAATAATAATAATATAATAATAATTAATAATAATAATAATATAAGAAAAATAAATGATAATAATAATAGCAATAATAGTATTATTATTATTTTTGTTTATCTTATATTCACATTATATTATTTTTCTTTTCATCCTGTTTTATTTTGTTGATAATTTTTAAATTGATGTCAAACGTTAGCTGCAAAATATATCAATCTGTTTTTTTTTAAATTAACTGCAATATGTCTATATATGTTAATTTTTTCTTCCTTTTCTACCCCCCCCCCCCGGCCACTTTTTTTCTTTTTTTTGGTATAAAAATCAATACTTCAGGGTGACTGTAAGTTTCCCACCTCAGGCGATAATAAGACACTACTCCTTTCGTGGGCTCTATATAAAGACCTGCGAAAGAAGTAATGAGGATTAAGAGAGGCGATGAAAGATGAAAACCAGTCAGTTTTATTTAGGGCTTGTAATTTATGTTAATTACGACCATGACGTTTAATTTTTTTTAATTTATTTATCACTTTTAAATTCATTCCTTTAAAATTTATTACTTTATTTATTTATCACTTATTATTTATTTGCTTATTATTAATTTTATTTAAATTTGGGAATTTGAAATGAAGTTTATTAGAATGAAGATAGCGTAGTAGGAATTTGTTTTCTCTCTTTTTATATCTTCTCTTGGCAAGAAAATAGCAATAATCACCTCCTTATGAAATTGGTAGTGATGCATAGTTTGCAGTTCGTTAGAACCGTGAAACCGACTGTCTCGATGCATTAACGATTTCTATGTACACACAGTCGATAGTTACAAACTATCTATTTCATTTATTTGCCACTTTCATCCCACGAGAGACACTCACATGATTTATTGAAATCAAATGAGCAGAAGAAAACAGCGCGTTACCTACCTAAAGAGCCTGGTTAAATGGTCGGTAAAAGAAGGGGCTGGAAGCGAAAAGTAAAAGGACAAATATTATTGCTATATAAAAATGATAGGGATTTGTGGAGGGCCATAATCGTCCAAGTCCTGAAGGGAGACGGCGCATAAAAGATTTCTGTGTGTGTACAAGCACGTGGGTTTATTTGTGTAGGTGATGTTATGTCCGCGATTTAATAACTGCTAGAAAAGGTAGAAAGACTGCGTTGCGCCAAGCTTCAAATTCCGACCGTAAATTGGTCTCGAACATTTGAAATCAGCAAATTTAAGCGAGGGCAGGTTATTGCAATTATCTCCCTTGTTTCCGTTTTGGTCACTTTTTTTTTTCTTTTCTTTACTTTTTGAGAGCGTACTGGAATATTTTTACTTAAAGCATTTGGAATTTTCATTCAATCCGGATAATTCTAAGCTCGGCATGAAAAAAAAAAAAAAAAGAAAAGAAAACAAGATGACGATCAATTCTTTACCGACTCTGAAAACCAGACAGGAAAGCGGCCAAGGTCGAACGGTAATTTTCCGCGATAAACTTCCACCTTACAAATTGCAGACAATTTGACCTTTGATATTGAAAGCCCCTCTCCCCCCCCAAAAAAAAGAAACGACATGTCTGAGATCTTTAATTCCCTTCATACATCTATTCTGTATTTTATTTTTTTTTATTTTTTTATTCGTTAAATAACTTCGTATTCCTGTTATTTAGTCACAGAACTTTCTTATTCTTAGGCCGTTATTATGCGCCATTTTCTCCCTCGTCTCGTCTGTTTCTTTCAATATGAACGTCGCCATTTTGGATTATGGCATCGATTTAGAAAAGTTGCTTGTAAAAAAGATACTATGTGAAGATAGAAAAAAAGAGAAATAATAAGTAGAACGGGAATCAAGAAGATGAAGAAGGGAATCAAGAAAAAGAATGAAATGAAAAGGAAGAAGAAAAAGATGAAATGAAAAGAAAGAAGAAAAAGAAGAAATGGAGATAAGAAGAGAGAACGTGAAGTAAACAAGAAGAGAAAGGAAGAGACGGGAGAAATAAGAAAATGAAGAAGAGAAATTTTACACTACATTGTTCGGAATATTGCCCTCATCTTCGTTTCTATAGTCACGACGTTTCTACTGTTGTACGCTCCGGCCTTCTTCAT